TTCTCTCTATCCCTCTCCTTTCCTCTCTGTAAAAAACCAGTAAAACTTTTTTTTTAAAAAAAAAAGAGAGAGAGAAAGCCAACATAACATGTCAGCAGGATGAGCGGAAGACCCTGCCTTCGGACTGGAACGAATCGACAAGATTCGACAAGATAACGCGGTGGCCAAGAACATAGAGAATCTCGGGCGACATCAACAGAAGTGAGGGGGCGCCAGCAAGGGAGGTGCTGGTGCCTCTGGGCACTGGCCCGGACGACACCGACACCGGGGATTCTGCAGTCGCCTCTGGTTCCAGAGACCGAGATGAGGGGCCCGAGCTCTGCAGAACGCTCCGTACTTCCACGCTCCAGCCCCACGGGATGCTCGGATGTGAGCAAAACAGACAGACCTGGTGCTTTTCTCCAAAACTCCTCTCTGTCCCGTGCCCAGTTTTCCTGCCTCCGGAAGCGACAACCATTCGCCCAGAGGCGGAGCCCCCATCGGGGCAGGATCCCGCTCCCCCTCCTGCCCTCTGCACCCGCACTCGGCCATCGGCAGGTCCTGCGGATTCCGCTCTACAGGACAGCGCTGGCTCTGCGGGCCCTTCCCCTGGACCACAGCCCCAGCCCGGCTCCCTGCTCGCCCACCCGTCCCACCACAGCAGATGGGAACAGGAACGCCACAGCCTGTCACGGGGTGTCCCTCCCCCTCTGACACCGCAGTCCGCAGAGGTCTGGGTTTTTCCTTACTTCCCTGCACCTTCGCCACCACATCCCTCCTCACCCACTGCCCCAGCCACGCCGGCTCCTTCCTGTTCCCCCAGCCTTGCTTCTCGGGGCCCAGACGCTCCTGCTCAGGCTCCGCTGCAGACTCCCTCCTTTCATTCCTGTGCACGTCGCCACCTCCTGGAGGCCCTCCTCGTTCCCCTCCTGGTTATAATCACCTCCACGGCAACTAGCTCCAGCCTGTCGACAAGGGAATGTCAGTTCCATGAGGCAGAGGCTGGCCGGGCTGGGCATGGGGGGTCCCCCCAGCATCCAGAACACTCCCTGGCATGCAGTGGGGCTCCATAAATGTTTGGGGAATGAATGGATCGGTAAGAACAGGCCGGTGTTGCTTAGTGGTTGGGCGTCACCCATGAACCAGGAGGTCAGGGTTCGATTCCCAGTGAGGGCACATGCCCAGATTGCGAGCTCAGTCCTCAGAGAGAAACATGTTTCTCTCTCATCCTTTATGTTTCTGTCTCTCTATCCCTCCCCCTTCCTCTCTCTCTCAAAAGCAATTATGAACAGGCATCGAGCTCATGCCACGTGAGGAAGGAATGCTGGGGGCCCTGGATGGGGCGATTGGCGGGGAGGCCCGGGGCCCAGGGTGGAAGCCCGCACATGGCTGGCAGGCATTTCCAAGGAAGGCGAGGACAACTTCCTCACGCGGTCCCCGCTTCCACCAGGGCCAATGGGCAGGAGCTTTGAAGAGACAGATTTCAGTGCCTCCTACAGACCATCTAAGTGTGGGTGCTGCCCTGGCCGGTTTGGCTCAGTGGATAGAGCGTCGGCCTGCAGACTGAAGGGTCCCAGGTTCGATTCCGGCCAAGGACACATGCCTGGGTTGCGGCCTCGATCCCCAGTAGAGGGTGTGCAGGAGGCAGCCGATCAATGATTCTCTCTCATCATTGATGTTTCTATCTCTCTCTCCCTCTCCCTTCCTCTCTGAAATCAATACAGAAATACATTTTTTTTAAAAAAATAAATGTGGGTGTTAACCCAGGGTAGCACGAGCGGCCTTGGGTGGGAGTGCGCGCCCCGTCACCAGAGGCCTGCAAGCAGAGGCTGAGTGATTACCTGGAACAGCCTGGAACAAAAGTGCCCGTCTGGAGCCATGCCTGGCACAGGCAGCTGCTCCTGTAAGGTTTTCTAAACGAATGAAAAAATGCGTGACTGGATGACTGCATGCATACTTGGATGAATGTCCTCAAAGACCCAGGCGCTCGAGTAAGTGGGATGAGTGGCATATAGAAAGTCCCTGCCCAGCAGCGAGGCCACTGAGAATGCCCAGTGGATTTTGACCACAGGCAGCGAAGATTCTGGAAGGAGGGCTTGCTTCCCGGAACCCAATAGCTCACGGGTGGGAGGAGAGAGAGACGCCGGGGGACTGGCCCTGACCCAGAGCTGCCTCTGCGGACATTCTCTCCTTCGGGTCTGGGACTCGGGTCCTGCTCTGCCCCTGACCAGTCCTGGGACGGCGAGCAAGACCCTCCCCGCCTCTGGGCCTCACATCCTCACCTGGAAATGGGGGCCATGATCCCAGATGCGTCGCCTCCGGGGCCGTCAGTGCACACGCCCGCCCGAGGAGGCCACGCTGGGCTCACCTAACCTCCTGTGCCCGGGACGCCAGCCCCCAGGCGCTCCCCAGGCCCAGACACAGGCATCCCTCCGCCGTTTTCCTTTTGACGGTGTTCCTAGGCGAAGTGGGGTGAGGAAGGTGCACACCGGCCTGAGGATGAATCACAACGAACTCAAGAAACGGGTCTAGGTCAGATATGAGTGGGAGCAGCAGCAGAGACTTCCCGTAAGCGCTGCCCTTCTCCCAGCACTGGCTGCTCTCGGGCTGAGTAATGGGTCCCCCCCACACCCCACTCTGCTCGCCTTGCTGCCCTGGCCTCTCTGAGGAAGTGGAGGCCTTGACTCCCACCAGCCTGCACCCCCTTTGCCCTGCACGTCCGTCAGGGCCCCCCTCTCGGGGTCAGGGTCACCTCATCCAGGCAGACTCTGCCTTCCTGCAGGGATGTGGGTGCCCTGGGAACACCCCCTTTACTGAACAGACCCGGGCAGTCTGTCCAGCCCTCCTGCCAGGGAATCCCACCATGAGCACTTCCCTCCATGGGGGGTCCCTAGCTCTAGTTATTTATCCCCAGCAAAGAGCCATCAGGGGGACCCCTCCCCCAGGCTCACGCAGGGCCCAGGTCCACATCTGGCTGAAAGTAGGGGGCGTGGGGGTGGGGGGGCGTGGGGGTGGGAGGGGGGCTTGCCTGTAGCCTCAGCCTGGCCTGGAACATGATTGGGGTGGGAGGGGGAGGGGGAGTCCTAAGTTGTCAGGGAAAGACCTTAGGCCTCCCTCCCCAGCGCCCCCCGAACCCCACCTCCCACCCCCCCCCTCCACCGGGGTGCCTCTTGGAGAAGGTGGAGGCCAGGGAGGGGAGAAAGCACAGGATTCGTTTCAGCATCGGGGGAGTAATCCCGGGTCATTTGGGGAGACTGTGGTATGAGGGGCAGAGGCCAAATCTCTTTCTCAGAATGTGACGCACAGAAAGAACGCAATCCTAACCAGGAAAAAAATGGGTTGAAATGTCAAGCCCTGATTTTTTAATGAACTTTTCAAACGTTTACTGGGGCAACAGAAATGGAAAAGGCTTGAGGGGCCCCGGTCGGAGGGAGCACCAAGCCCCCTCCCCCACGGGCACCCCCCCCTGCCAAGAAGTGGCCCAGTGTCTGAGCCCCGAGAGAGAGGAGAGAGAGAGAGAGAGAGAGAGAGAAAGAGGAGAGAGAGCCGCTCAGACTCTCAGGCTCTCTAGTCGGCGGGAAATGCAAATGAAGACAACAAAGATATGGCCTTATCACTGATCACATTGACAAAAATAAAAACTAACGATAAGATCAAAAGTCGGTTAGGATGTGGGGAAGTTGCTACTCTCATGCTGCCGTGGGAGGGCGAGTGGCTGGCCTCCCTGGAAGGCAAGTCAGCAGCCTCTTTCAATGTGTCCACGTTTTCACCTACGCATTCTCTTCTCGGCCTCCTCTCTGAAAGAGGCACACGCACGCCCCATGCATCCACATGTCACCCTCCATCAGGGAAGTAGTTAAACTAGGGAACCCCCTCCCACCCCCCCACCCCCCCGCACTGGACAGAATACTGCTTCTCATGTTCAGAGGCGAGCGGGTGCCTGAAAAGGTCCCAGGACACACAGCAGACCCTGCAAAGCCCAGCGAAGCACCCTGTGCTCCGGACACTGCAGTCCGTGCCAAACCCGGCCGAGTCCTAGAAACCAAAGAAACACCGGCCGTTCCATCTGTGAAGGAACCAGGGTGAGACGAGGTCCAAAGACTTCACTGTATCTGTAGGGTGTCCGCTTCTGGCGTGGACGGTATAAGGACACGCTTCATGTGTAATAAAATGCATGTTATTGTTTTTACTTTAAGGAGGGGTTCCACTCCATAGGAAGGAAGCACATGGGCTCCAGCCGCCAAATACGAACACAGCTCCCCGATCACATCCCTCCCTCCCCTTGATCTCCCCAAGACCCTGGCACCCCAGACTCTCCCCTCTGCCAGGTCATCAGCAAAGGGCTTAGGGGCTGGGGGTAGGTTCTCCACTGGGTCTCTGTCCTGTCACACAGCCAGCAGCCTCCTCTACCCTCTCTTGCACCCTAGGGGGGTGGGGGCGGCAGGGGGGGGCTCACGGTGTCCCATTGAGGAGGGAAGGGGCGCCTCTGCAGAGGGAAGGGGGCGCCTGCATTCCGCCTCCTTCTGCCTGAAGCCCTAAGATTCAAAAGCATCTCATCCACCTCTCCCGCCCTCCCTAGACCTTCAGCCAGTGGCTGCCTAGGGGCCAGGGGTGTGCAGCAAGGAGAGCCCCAACAGCAACCTCTCTGGCCCAGGGAGGCCCCCCCTGGCCTGCCCAACCCTGGGGTCCTCACCTCACCTGCCATGACCCCACCCACAAGCAGCCGCTCTCCTGCAGGCAGACCCCAGCTCAGTGGATGAGAAATAAGTGAATAGTCCCAGGTGTCCGCCAGGCGGGGGAGAGCACTCCACTAGCCCTCCCACCTTAGGACACTTGCGTATTCGGGTGCCCCTGCCTGTCACCTGCAGCCCCTCACTCCAGCGGGGCAGGGAGGGAGGCGAGGGGGCCTCCATCCTCCTGTGTCCCACCTGCCCCACGCTGTCCGCTGTCCGTGGCTCAGTGATGGGAAAGAGGGCGCTCTGGACCGCCAGCGCCTCCCCAGGCTCCCGACACCCCCTTACCTGCGGGAAGGCTTGGAGCGCCCCCAGGAGCAGCAGCCCCAGTGCTGCTGCGCGGAGAGCGAACATCCCGGGAGGAGGCTGGGCTCAGGCCGCCGGCTCAGCTGGACGGGCAGCCTCGCTGGCGCCCAGCCTCACTCTGTGAAGTTGCCGCTCCTTCCCCAGCGTTTGGCCTTCGCTCTCCCCCTCCTCTCCCTCCCGGAGGCACAGTGGTTAACCCAGAGCTGCTTCAAAGAATGGGCCACCTGGCAGCTGGAGAAAAAAACAGACACGTGCAGAGATGACTCAGAACAAGGCACGCCCCCCTTTGCTGTTCAATGGCTGGTCCTGGATTCGACAGAAGGGGTGGCCCCAGTGCAAGTGGACTGAGGCGCAGGAAGGCACTCCCACCCTGGAGGGAGGGATCCCAGGAGATGGGGGGGTCTCCGGCTGGTCCCAACGCTCCATGGCATGCCCACCCCAAGGAAAAGCAAAACCTGAGTAGGTTCCTACTCCTGTCACCGACCAGCTCACACTTCTCTCCTCCCTGGAGAGGCCCTGGAGGAGGGAGACTGCGGGGAGAGCCCCCACCAGCCACTCACCCCATTCATGTGTGTCTACTGTGAATGCAACAGTAGATGGACGCTAGAGGGATGAGGAGGGGGTGGGTGGGTGGGGAGGGGTGGGGAGGTGGATGGATGGGTGGATGAGTGGGTGGGTAGATGAATAAATGGGTGGGTGAGTGAATGGGTGGGTGGGTGGATGAATAGATGGGTGGGTGAGTGAATGGGTGGGTTGGGGACAGAAGGTTGAATGGGTAGGTGGATGAATAGATGGGTGAGTGGATATATGGGTGGATGGGTGGATGGATGAAGGGTGGGTAGGTGAGTGAATAGGTGGGTGGTGGGTGGATGGGTGGGTGGGTAGGTGATGAACAGATGGGTGGGTTCGTGAGTGGGTGGTGGGTGGATGGATGAATAGATGGATGGGTAGATGAATGGGTGGGGTAGGTGGGTGGATGGACGGGTGGGTGGGATAGGTGAGTGGATGGATGGGCAAGTGGGGGGTGGGCAGGTGGGTGAGTGGGTAGGGGGACTATTGGAGGAACTGATGGTGAGAAGAATACAACGTTTGGTTATCGATTCACGGGTGCTCCCCTGCCCCCTGAGAGTTTTGTGCCCAGAAGAGGAGCCTAATGGTCTGAGAGAAGGAACCACGCACCCCTCACTGGAAGGAAGTTCTCGTTGGCGTGGGCAGCCTCTCCCTGCGCCTGCTTCTCCATCCCATGGGCTCTCAGCTCCTGGCATTCTGCGCTCCATGCAGTTTCCTGAGCATCTGACTAGGCTGCCAGTCAAGGGCTCATTTGCTGGCCTTGCGTCTGCTTTCCTTCAGATGGGGAAACCGAGGCCCCGGCACAGGCAGCCGTCCCAGGTGCTCCGGCCGTTTCCCGGTGCCCGGAGGGGCCCAAGGCCCTCAGACGTCTGCACCTCAGCCTGCCCTGCAAGGCGTTGTCAGGCCCCATCTTGCCAACGTGGCCACTAGCCCTGGTCTCCCACCAGGACCCTCCTTGAGCTCCTGCCTTCTCCGTGGAAAACCTGCCCGCCCTGGGCGCTCGCCCCTGGGTGCACCAGGCCTGGGGTGCGTGAGCTGGGACCGTGTTAGACAGTAAATAAAGTGAGTGAGTGTGGAAGTGACCCTGCAGGATGGCCACAGAACCGGGAAGTGGAGGGGCGACCCGGGACGCTCCTTCCCAGTCCAGAGGTTTGCACTGCAGACCTGCGGGTGCTCTGAATAAAGATATGCTTGTTCACCGTACCAACACAACCCAACATCAGGATGCTGACACCAGGGGAAATTCAAGTTAACACAATCACACGTTTTAGAAGTTCCATCTTTCTAGCAATTGAAGAGATGCAAATTAAAACAACCTTTGATCCCGTTGAGACATTAACTCATTAGGGTTTTTTTTTCCCTTCATAACAACAACTTTGGTAAAATCCCACCCCAAAGTGGAACATGCATTCATACTGTGCTGGTAAATGTTACAACCCTTTTCAGAAAGCAATCGGCAATTCTTAGCAAAGTTCCCCACACAAAAAAAAATATTTACGGCTTGTGGTTCAGTAATTTCACCCTAGCAAAGAAAAACTAAGGAAATGGTTCAACTGGAAAAAGAAACTATAAACAAGTAATATTTCCTAAAATATTATAAATCTTGGAAATATGCCAAGAATCACAACAGAGAATGGTGAAGTAAATTGTGGTATGTTCCTTTCATGAAATACTACACACCCATTAAAAATGATCATTATATTAAAAAAAATGATCATGATAGCCCGGCCGGCGTGGCTCAGTGATTGAGCATCGACCCGTGAACCAGGAGGTCACGGTTCAATTCCCGGTCAGGGTACATGCCTGGGTTGCAGGCTCGATCCTTGGTGTGGTGCGTGCAGGAGGCAGCTGATCAATGATTCTTTCTCATCATTGGTGTTTCTGTCTCTCTCTCCCTCTCTCTTCCTCTCTGAAATCCATTAAAAAAAATTTTTTTTGTTTTAATTTAAAAAAAAAATTTTTTTAAGATCATTATAGCAATGGACACCTGTCTCTCTCTCCTGTCCTTCCCTTCCATGGGCTTCTAAAGGGACCTTGCAGAGGTGGGGGCGGGGGTCAAGGAAGCTGGGTTTTGGTCACCTGAAAATTTATAACATTAATGGTAACAATAATAGGGGGCGCTGAGTGTTTACTTTCTGCTAAGAGTTTTCAGGCATCGGTTCCTTGAATCCTCAGGGAAACCCATGGAGGAGAGCCTATTGTGCCCATTCTGCAGGTGAGAAACCGAGGCACAGAGCCGTGACTCCACCAGGCTCCCCAGAGCCAATGGTACTCAAGGCCGGTCCCAGCCCGGCTCAGACTCGTTTCTCTAGCTTCACTTTCAGCCTCTTCCCTCATCCCTGCTCCAGCCGCGCACGCCATGCACGCTCTCCGCCTCCACGCCTTTGCCCACCCTGGCCCTCCGCAGAGCACACCCCTCAGACCCCCGTTTCTCTTCGGAACCGGCCCCAAAGCCACCTCCCCTTTGCTGCTTTCCTGGCACCGTCCCGCCCCTCCCCCAGCATCTTCGCAGCCAGAAAGGCGGTTTCTGTCGTTTTTTTTGTGCCTCAATTCTAGAACTGATCTCACTGTGTCAGGACTGTAATGACTGGCTCGGGCATCCATCTGCCCCAGGAAGCTGGGGGCTCCTGGACAACCAGGGTGCCTGGGAGCCGGCGCCTGGCACGCGGCTGTGAGCCAGTGATGGGTGGCAGGGAACGCGCCCCATCCCGGAGGAGGCGGCCTGAGCTGTAGAAGTGTAGACGCCTAGGAAATGGCACCTGGTGGGACTCTAAGAGAAGGCCCTGGATGGAGGTGCCTGGGGTTTCAGTGCGCCTGCAGGTCTCAGGCGCTCTTGAACTCCCAGCGCGTGTGAAAGTGCTTTGAAGAGCCAGGAGGGGAAGTCCCTAGGCCTGCAGTGCAGGCCCTGATGTGGGGTGGCGGGGGTCAAGGCCCCTCCTGGCTGCGGCAGCCAAGCCGGGCCTGCAGGAAGCAGGCAGGTGAGCAGCGTCTCAGAGGGAGGGGGCGGAAGGCAGGTGCCACAGCGAGCTCTCCGAAGGGTACTGGGAACCCGTGTCACCAAAGGGATGCTGAGCAAGACATCAGGTTCTGACCTGGCTCAGGAAATTCAGGGACTTCCCCAACAGCTGGGAACCCCAGCCCCAAAATGGCCCCGAAATACCCTCAGCAGATGAAGGGATTCTTTCTGCCCCAGGCAGCAGCGGGCAGGTAGGAGGCTGGAAACCTGAGGGGGAAAGCCTGCATCTTTCTGCTCTCATTGGCCTAGGTAGTTTTGGGGGTACCTTTCCCAGGTGCCTCGAGAAGAGTAGGCCTCTTCATGGGGGGCTTCTCCGGCAGGACCTGCGTGTCCGGCTGCCTCCAACTCAAGCCCCAGAAGTCTCCCCTTCTCGAGGCCCAGGACACCAGCTGCATCTTGGTCACTCAGCTCTGGTCCCTAGGACGGCGGTGAGAAGGGGCACTGAAGGCTGGCATCAGGGAGTTCACTCCTCAGAATTGGGGACAGCCATTAGGACAGCGGTTCTCAACCTGTGGGTCGCAACCCCTTTGGGGTCGAACGACCCTTCACAGGGGTCGCCTAAGACCATCGGAAAACACATATATAATTACATATTGTTTTTGTGGTTAATCACTATGTTTTAATTATGTTCAATTTATAACAATGAAAATACATCCTGCATATCAGATATTTACATGACGATTCATAACAGTAGCAAAGTTACAGTTATGGAGCAGCAACGAAAATAATGTTATGGTTGGGGGTCACCACAACATGAGGAACTGTATTAAAGGGTCGTGGCATTAGGAAGGTTGAGAACCACTGCATTAGGGGCTCCCCCCTGCCTGAGCGAACCCCAGGAACTCCCCCCCCACACACACACTATAATCAGGCCAGACCTGTAATCCTGGCAACAAGATTTCAAGTCAGTGTACCTATCCCCATTTCACAGATGAACAAACTGAGGCTCAGAGTAGTTAAGTAACTTGCCTGAGGTCACACACCTGAGAGGCTGGAATGTGGCTCCGAAACCCTCTGACTTTTAAGCGCCAGCCGCCCTTGCTTCCCCAGGAGAAAGAGCACGAGGCAGGTGCCCTGGTCTGGCCACGTGACTGCAGGCGAGTCGCTTCTCTTCTGAGTGTATTAGTTACCTAAACGTAGCAACTTAGAGCAACAAGAAACAGCATGTCACCGGGTATCTATAGGTCTGCAATTCAGGAAAGACTTGGTGGTGACTCTGGCTTGGGGGTCTCTCAGGAGGTTGTAATCAAGATGTTAGCTAGGCCCTGGCCAGTTGCTCAGTGGTTAGAGCTTCAGCCCTCAGACTGATGGGTTGTGGGTTCGATTCTGATCAAAGGAGGAGGTAGGCATGTTCCTCAGTTGTAGGCTCGATACTCGGGCCCAGTCAGGGCGCATGCAGGAGGCAATCCATCGATGTGTCTCTCATCTCTCTCCTATCGATGTTTCTCCCTCTGTCTCCCCCTCCCGTCCACTCTCTCTAAAAATCAATGGAAAATATATCCTTGGGGGAGGATTAACAACAAGGAAAAGATGCCAGCTGGGGCTGCAATCATCCGCCGGCTCGACTGGGGCCGAGGACCTGCTTCCAAAATGAGC